GATGGGTGGTTCCTCGTTGTTTCGGTGCTGTTGGACCATATCCCGACCCTGTTGAAAACGAAACCGAACGCCGCCCGCATGTATATGTGGGGCGATCTACGTAAAATTCCAGGGTCGTGGAGGAAAATTCTATGATACTCTACCGAGCAAAGAGGCGCAAAACAATCCGGAAGCCACGGATACTGTTGCATTGGACACCGGTGCAGCAGCATCACTGCACCCCAAGACCTGTGACAAAAAGGCCTGCACAACCTGTTATACGTGGTAGAGCCATGCTGCGGCTTTTAATTCACCTCTCCTGTGGAAAATGGTGAAAAATGAACTCATCAGCAAATTAAATGCCAATCATTTCTACACAGTAGGTTATGCTGATGACCTGACAAAAGTGGTATCTGAAAAGACTGCGACCTGACCCAAGCGGCTCGCCGTATAGTGGAGAGATGGTGCAGGGAATACGACTTAACCGTCAATCTAAATAAAACGGTTCAAGTAGAAACACAGAAACGAATACTGAATAACTAACATCTCGCAAGTCTTTTCAGCACAAAACTCCAGCTATCCTCTGAGGTAAAATATTTAGGTATTACCTTGGACAGTAAAGTCAACTGGAATAAAACATAGAAAACAAAATCAACAAAGCTATTATTACTTTCAGGCAATGCAGAAACATGATTGGCAAAAGATGGGGTCTGACGCCAAAAATCATACTGTGGCTATACAAAACTGTAATCCGGGCCATGATTACATACGGCGCTCTGGTATGGTGGACCAAAACAAATGAAGCCACCACTATAAAGAAGTTTCAGCGTTACCAGAGACTGGCATGTATGGCTGCCACAGGCTGCATAAGAACTACGCCAACAGCAGCTTTAGGGGAGATGCTGGAGCTAACCCCGCTTCATCTACATATACAACAAGAAGCGACTTTAGCTGGCATTAGATTCAAGACCCTAAATCTTTGGAGTAACAATAGAGTCCCTCAGGCATAATTGATAGAATTCACACAAAAATTCCCATCTTGCAAGCTAATTATGATAAGATCCCTAAACAAATTGTATTTGATAAGAAGTATAAGATACAATTAAATGAAACCAGCCAGCCGGAGGAATTAAGCCCTAAAGAGCTTAGAGTCTTCACCGATGGTTTTAAAACAAATGAAGGTGTAGGATCTGGAAATTTTTCTGAAGACCTCAACATCCACATATGCACACCACTGGGTACCCTCAGTCACATAGTCTTTCAGGCGGAATGTATGGTTATCATACAAGCAGCCATAGCAATAGATGCCAGGAAAGTTAAAGACTTCTCCATCAGAATACTGACCGACAGTAGGGCGGTATTACAAGCCCTGAGTTAAAATGTGGTGAGCTCAGGACTAATATATGAATGCCATCAACAATTAAATGAGGTATGTAATCAAAACAATGTGACTCTGCAATGGATACAGAGAAACAGTGGATCAAGAGGCAACGATGCAGCAGACAAACCAGCCAGAAGAGGATCGGCTCTGGCCACTATAGGGCCGGAACCAATCATACCAATCCCCTTTGGTAACGTTCATTCACTGGTACGTACACTTCACTAATCAACACGCTCAACTTTGGAAAAACCTAGCAGACTGTAGACAAGCTAGGGAGGCCCTGCCTGAAATAAACAGTTGTCTAACCAAGGTTCTAATGAGATTGAACAAGCCGCAGATCAGGATAGTAACAAGTGCTATCACAGGACACTGTAACTTTAACAAACATGTATTTACCATAGGTGTTAGTCAGATTATTACAGATAGTCCCCCATGCAGGGCATGTATGGGGAGGAAGAAACTGCGGCCCACGTGTTGCTGACATGTCCGGAAGTCGCTGCATACAGGACTAAACATCTCGGCACGCCGGGATCATTCCCCGAAGTTGCTTGCAACATCAAAGGACTGTTGACTTCTTCAGGGAGATTTCATGGCGCGAATAAATACATTATTCCTGCCCACACGCAAAATACGCGCTTAGACGAGGAGTTGCGGAAAACAGCCTGTTTTTCAGCACAAAACTCTAGCTACTCCTCTGAGGTAAAATATTTAGGTCTTACCTTGGACAGCCATCTGTCATTCTTACTACCTGCGTGAAATAATTACCTAGATCGCAGTCGGGGCTAGCACGTTCTAGGCGATTGAATTTTTAGATTTGAATTAAAGTTTTTTTAACGCTGTTTACGTAAATACTTTTTTGTAAATACTTGTTGAACTACTCGTCGAAATAATTTTTGTTTAGTATTTATTATATTTAATTGTAGGATAGAATAGTTGAAAAAGTTTTAATGTAATTTAAAAATAATATATTACCTATCTATTTGATAAATTATAATGGCAAAACACCGTCCCTACTATAATTGTTGCGGGGATGCATGCTTAATGAGCAATTAAAAGGATTCAGAGATATCATTTTTTGAGTTACCGAAGGATAACGAAAGGTAAATTTATTTCATTTTTTTGTTAGATAGGTACTTATAGCGAAAAAATAATTAAGTAATAATTTAACTACACAAGTAATACCTAAGTACTTTATTACAAAACTTAGTTGAAATTTACTTCACTACCCAAGTACCTACTTACATACCTATACTCGTCTTTGTAATTAAAATATTTTAAGTTATAATAGCACAAAATACTGAAATTAAAACTTTCTTTACAAGATTTTCAACTAAGTAGATTACGATCATATTTCTGTTAGGAATCGTATTTCGTGTTTATTTGTTGTTTACACTATCTACCTGTACGAACCAAGCATCGCGATTCCCGACGAATGGCCTTGCAAGTTGCATGTGTTGGGAATCACAGAACTCACATAGTAGATAATATGGTCGATTATAGTCCGCATAGGTACTATCCCTAAGTAACTTACCATTTCACAATGTATTCTTTTACTCTTTATTAACAGCCCTTAGCAACCACGGAAAGTCCGTTGTGACGTGGTAAGGAGAAAAGATGCAAAGTAATACGGACACTCGCGCGAGGCGATAAAGTTTTATTTAGTTTGCATGCGCGATTTATCTGATTAATAATAACTATGTAGGCTATTAAAATTTTTGGCAAGCAGTCAACATCAAAGAGTGCAACTTCTGTACATAGTATTATTATTTTTTTGCCTTGGACAATAGACTGAAATGGAATCAAAACATAGAAAACAAAATCAACAAGGCTAGTATCACTTTCTGGCAATACAAAAACATGATTGACAAACAATGGGGTCTGACAGAAGCCACCACCATTAACAAGCTTCAGCGTTAGCAGAGACTGGCATGTATAGCTGCCACAGGCTGCATACACCAACAGCAGCCTTATTAACAGTGGTAGAGCCAGGCGGCAGCTTTTGCTGTCGCACGGATGGGCCGGCTCGAACCGGGGTGGTACCACGACCTCACAGAATACCAGCGTGAAGTAGAGGTTTACCTCTGCGTTTCGCTTGGTGAGTGCAGGTGGCCGGAGGCCCTTTTTACTGGAAATGAGGCATTTCATCCTAGTCCTCACGGGTGACAACGCATCTATATTTTGATTCGCAAACGAGGATAAATGTAGATGTCTATGGGCCACAGCAACCACTTACCATCAGGTGGACTGTGTGCTCGTTTGTCACTCTATCCTATAAAAAAAAAAAAAAAAAAAAAAAAAAAGAGGCGATGCTGGAGCTAACCCTGCTTCATCTACACATACAACAAGAAGCGACTTTAGCTGCCAATAGACTCAAGTCCCTAAATCTATGGAATAAGAGTAGAGTCCCCCATACAGGTATAATTGATAGAATTTGCTCTAAAATTCCTATCTTACAAGCCAAATACAATATCCCTAAACAATTTGTTTGATAAGAAATACAGGATACAATTAAATGAAAGTAACCAGATGGAGAGTTTAAAATCAAAAAAGCTCAGAATTTTCATGAATGGTTCCAAAACAAATGAAGTTACAGGATCTAGCACTTTCTCGGAAGACCTTAATATCCACATATGTACACTGCTGGATACCCACAACACATAGTCTTTTAGGCAGAATATATGGGTATCATCCAAGAGTTGCGAAAAACGGCCCGTACTTACCTATCTAAGTTCACAAAAAAATTTTGGCAAGTTTTATTACGAAATGAGTCCATTTTTCATAACATATTATGTAATTTTAGTTTCCTTCCGTTGCTGTTCTGGACGGCCGTACATCTGATATAAACGTGGTTGAGGCATGCTACGGCCTTATTATGGTTGTAGCACGAATGGGTCTGCTTGACCGGGTTAGGACCACACTGTCACAGCATACCAGCATAAAATAGCAGCTCATGCTGCTGTGTTTCGTATGCTGAATGCAGAGATCCGGAGACCCATTTTACTGGAAATCAGGCATTTCACCTAAGTCCTCAGGGGTGATAACGACATTGAAACATAAAACTACATTATCAAGTAAAGTGATCATTACATCCATGCAACCGGCGAAAGCTTCACGTTCATTATCACTATTCATATCAGAATCTGTAATTTTTAATATTTTCTTTGATGAGATCATGCTCATTCACTTGTACTGTGTATATTAGCCACGTCATATTGACTTTCCTCCTACTCATGTCAATAACCCAAATACTTCAAATTAATGTGTTGTCAGTATGTAAAGATTTTAGACCCAGGGATTTAACATATCATTATGATAAATTGGAGGTAAATCTGCGAGTTTAAAATTAGCTACCCACAAGTATGGCTCGATATTTCAAAATATTGACTAAAACTCCATAACAAAAAGACCAATCATTAATAACAATAAAATAATGAAGTAATAAGTTTATAAAAACTGGGAAGATAGTTCGTGAAAGCACACTGCCTTGTGGCACACAAGTTTCAAAAGTATTCTCAAGAATTCTCAAGTGCTGTTGCCCGTTTGCCCCACAATAATGGGGTGCAGTCCACAAAGATAGGTAGGATATCATTTAAATGCTGAAAATAGGAAAAATCAGAAAGAATAATTAATATTTTATTACCTTCTTCCATTATATCGGCCTCATTCCAACCCAGTTGGTCTTCTTCATTAGCTTCTCTGACGCATTTAAGTACATCATGGAAGTCTGGGAAAGGGAGTGGTGTACCAATAGGTACTTTCCTATTGATCCACTTCTCAAGCCTTCTTGCAGGGCCTAATGGCTGACCTGGCCGGCATTGTATTTGAATCCGTGGCTCAGATGGCATTTTTGTATTAGATATTTGACAAAACTTTGCATAAACCCGTACTAGTCTCTCCTTATATCTGAAAGTTGGGTTAACCTTTATTAAAATATATTGAATCTTTAAACCCTTTTTTATGTTACGACTTGTAAGTTTTTAACAGATAATTAATGGGGTTAATTTAATAAAAGCCCTACTTAACATTTAATAAAAAATCAAGTGTCTATACATTCTCCATCTATCCATTAATTTCAGCTTAACAAAATTCACTGCTGGACGTGAGCCGCCTTATAGGTTGCCTTAGAAGGGGGATATATGCTATAAAATAATTACAGTACAACCTTAGTACAACAAACCTCAATATAACAATTTCCTCAATTTAACAAATTTAGAAATTCCCTAGAACCAGCCGTAAGAGTTAATACAAAACATACTTACATATAAGAACAACATTTATAAAAAATCTCTTTATAATGATTTTTCAATCATTGCAAAGCATAAATATAGAGATAAAGTATTCTATCAATCCATCTAATAAGAATTTGTCTCAACACAATTTCAGACACATTAAATTTATTGTAAGACAATCCAGGAATTCATATTGTTATAATAAATTTATGTTTAGTGTTGTAAGGCATTCTTTAAAATGTGTTTTACTTTTTTTTAAGTTTGCTAACCTTGCTAAAATGAATCTTATACCAACCTAACCTCTATATATGATGGGTAATTGAGTGTGAGGTGTACAAGTGTTGTTGTGTTTTTGGCTATTTCTTATTCTGAGAGCTGTTGATTTACTTTTATTTGTTTATTATTTCTATTGGTGTTGGTTTTAGTACTTATAAATCCGTAAATATTTAGTAATTGTGCTGTTTTATATGTAATTAGTTAAAATAAAATGGAGGAAGATCCTCCCGATCCCGACGGGGTTCCATGTGACTCCCATACTGTTACCAAAAAAAAATTATAATATGCCTATCGAAATTGATCAGTCGAAGCGTAAAAGATTGCAAGTAACCAATAACACAGCTCATCCTCAGAAAAGATTAATTACAGATCCATCTCAACCTGTACCATCTATTCAGACCTCTTATACCCATCCTGACTACATAGAAAAAAAAAACATAAATATTCTAATAACGACAATGCGCCGTTTATTGTAAATGTAAGTAAGAGAGTAGATGATTTATCAACTGGAGTAGTTTTAAAACCGATAAAGTTTGGTCAATTTCTCTACCATAATAATATTTAAAAATGTTGTTAGTGATGGTGTTAAGCGAATAGGACGCAATAGAATTTCAGTCGAGTTTAAAAGTGCAGTTGATGCAAATTGTTTTATTGAGAACCCAGCCCTTGCAGGTGCTAAATATGATACTGTAATCCCTTCTTATAATGTCACACGTATGGGAATAGTGAGGCGGGTCCCTGTAGAATGGACATTAGAGGAACTCATATCATCAATCGAGGTCCCAGCTGGTTTTGGCTCAATTATTAAAGCTCGCCGATTTAATAGAAAGTCAGTTAATGAAAACCAAAGCACTGTGTGGATTCCTTCTCAAACGGTTGTTTTAACTTTTTCTGGCCAGAAACTTCCTTCTAACATGTATTGTTTTTCACCTCAATTCCTGTTGAGCCCTACATTTTACCTTTTATTCAATGTCACAAATGTTGTCGTTTTGGACACGTAACCTCACAGTGTAGGTCATCTTCCCGTTGTTTTGTGTGTGCTCAAAATCATGAACGAATATCATGCACAAGACAGTCTCCCACTTGCCTATTTTATTCAGGATCTCACACGGCTAAAGATCCTTCCTGCCCTGAACACTCTAGGCAGAGATCTGTCAAACTTACCATGTCACAGGAAAATATTTCCTATCTAGAAGCATCTGCCCGTTTCCCTCAAGTCCGAAGATCTTATGCAGATACTGCTAGAATCCTTCCTTCGTATGATCATCAGAGTCCCTCCCTATACTATTTCAAATTCCACTTTACCTTCAATTGTCCCCTCACAATCTCATTCTTACAGGAAGCCTACATTTACTCCAAGACTTCCGTCAAATCCAGCATCAAGTCATGGATATGATAAATCTGCCCATGAGGCAATAATAGATACCCCTTCTTCTTCAACTACTAATGGTTGTGCTTTAATAGGGCGGAGTATTTCCCCTAATGACAATCTGTGTGAGTTAATGATATCCATGCTTATAAGTATGCTTTCCCTTTTCAGCGATATGGATCTCCCACTTGCCCTCCGCCAAAAACTTACTGAGCTCATTTCATTAACAAATAACCTTCCCTCCAATACTTCAGTGGAACTGCCGGAGCATTAATAATAAGAAAAATGAATTAATTTACCTTATTAATAAATACCATCTCCTCTTCCTAGCCATCCAAGAGACATGGCATAAGCCTGGGTCCCATTTTAGGATCTCAGGTTATTCATGCCTCAGGGATGATAGGAATGATGGTCATGCTGGCTCTTTCATTCTTATCTCAAAATCAATTACTTATACATTAATTTCCCTTCCTACAGTCCTTCAATTAATGTTGTAGCAGTTAGAGCTCATAACACTTCTTTTCTCTCTATTTACATTCCCGAACCTAGTTTAAATATCTTGTCAGAACTTACGAGGATTATATCCTCCATCCCTCCTCCTATGCTAATTCTTGGTGATTTTAATATGCACCATACTTTATGGGGCTCCCATTTTTGTGATCCCTGGTCTTCTACATTTTTAGACATCATTGATGATTTAGATCTCTGCCTCCTTAACGATGGTTCACCTACACGTAGAGTATCCCCCCTCCAAAATCCTAAAAGTTCAGTAGATCTGTCACTCTGTTCTCCTGCCCTGTCGTCCCTCCTTTCTTGGAGAATATTACCCTTTTCCCATGGCAGTGATCATTTCCCTATTGTTATTAATCCCCCTAGCTCCTATACAGTCAATGTTCCATTTAATCCTAGGTTAAAATATAACACATCCAAAGCAAACTGGCAACTATATTCCACAGTTCTAGAGGAAGAACTATCAGCCCTTCCTCCTGTTCAGAAAGATAATGTTCTTCAGGTGTATTCTACTTTTAAAAATGCTATTTTATCTGCTGCCAATAAGACAATTCCCATCAAAAACCTTATAAAAATAATGCTCCTTCACCACCTTGGTGGGATCAAGAATGTTCTGTAGCATGTAAGAAGAGAAAGGAAGCTGAAGTAAGATATTCCCTCTCTATGAATTTTGACAACTATATTTTTTATAAAAAAAAAACTGCTGCTGAAACATTAAAATTACTATCTGGGAAGAAAAAGGCTGGGTAGCTTAAATTCTGTGAGTCTCTGTCACCTAGGACTCATCCATCATTAGTCTGGAAAAATATAAAAAAAATCCGATGTTCAGTTTTGGCCTCTGAAAACACAATTTCTAATGATCAGTTTTATTGGCTAAAAAATTTTGCTAGTAATCTTACTCCTCCTTCAGTACCATCTTATAATGAAAGTCTAGCATTTCAATCACAGTACTTGCACTATCAACACAGTTTTGACTCCCCTTTCTCTTATGAGGAGTTATATGCTGTTCTTAGTGTCCTTAAAGACTCTTCACCAGGAATCGATGGAATTCCTTATTCTTTTATTACTAATAGCAGTGAATCTACTAAAGCCCATCTTCTTTCTATTTTAAATTGTATTTACATGTCCGGTATTCCTCCTGAAGAATGGAAATCCCAAGTTATTTTACCTATTCACAAACCAGGTAAGCCTTACACTGATCCCTCAAGCTACTGCCCTATTGCTCTTTCTTGTAGCATGGCCAAAATTCTTGAACATCTAATAAAAAATCGTTTAGAATGGTTTCTTGAAAGCAAAAACCTTCTAGCAAAAAGCCAATTTGGATTCCGTAAGAGCTTAAGCACCGTGGATAGCCTTAGTACTCTAGTTACTGATATTCGTATAGCTTACTCTAAACATGAATACCTTGTTGGAGTCTTTCTAGATATCTCGTCTGCATATGACATTGTACTTCTTCCTGTGCTCAGGCAAAAAATGCTTAATTTGAGTATTCCAGTGAGGATAGAAAATTTTGTCTCTAACTTTCTCTCTTCTAGATCCATTTATATTGATAGTCAAAATTCTCTACTCCCGCCAAGAATTGCATGGAAGGGTCTCCCACAAGGCTCAGTACTTAGTCCTTTGCTCTATTCTATCTATACTTATGATCTAGAACTTTCTGTTAACTCATTCTGTAACATCCTCCAATATGCAGACGATATAGCTATATATATTTCCTTGGATAAGCTCCCTACAGCTTGTTCCCGCTTGAATTTATCAATGTCCTATTTACAAGATTGGTTAACTGATCACGGTTTGTCCTTGTCTGTTCCCAAAAGCAGTGTTGTTATCTTCTCTCGCCATAGGCAACTCGCTGAAATCGACATTCTCTATAATAATGAACCTATCGCAATTAGAGAGAATGTAAAATTTTTGGTAGTTATTCTTGACTCCAAACTAATGTTTTCTCATCATATCAACAATTTCTCAAAAAAATGTGAAAAAAATATAAATATTCTTCGCGCTTTATCGGGAGTTTGGTGGGGCTCCCACCCATTCTCTCAAAAAATATTGTACAACACCCTTATTCGTAGTCATTTGGATTATGCGTGCTTTTTCTTGGAACCATGTAATAAAGTCTTCCCTAAAGATCCTAGACAGGATTCAGACGAAAAGCCTTCGTATAATCATTGGGGCAATGAAATCTTCCCCAATAAATGCTCTCCAATTCGAATGTGTAGATCCTCCTCTTTACCTAAGAAGACAATATCTTTCGGACTGATTCTTTTTTAAAATCTATCAACTCTCTTCCCATCCTCTCATTTCTAAATTACACCTTCTTTTGGAATATATTTCATCAAAGCATTACTGGACTCATAAAGAATCTCCCTGCTTATCCAACAGTTTGGTAATATTACTCCATCTTCCACACCCAGTATCACAGTGCAAGTCCTGTCCCATCTTTGATATCCCATATGATGCAATTATTTTCCACCCAAATATCCACCTCGACCTTGGTATTGAGAAAGATTGACCTATAGCAAATAGTAAACTAAGTAGTCATAGATAATTTATGGAAAGGCTGGCTTATTATATACACTGATGCCTCCAAGAAGTCAGGTGAAAGTTGCACTGGAGCAGCAGTTTGGATTCCCAGATACAAAATAATCCTCAATTTTAAATGCCCTTCTATTTCTTCCAATTTTACTGGTGAGGCCACGGCAATTTATGAAGCTTTGATTTATATAAAAGCACACAACTTAAATAAGTCAGTTATTCTTACCGACTCCAAAAGCTGTTTGTTAGCAATTTTGTCAAACCAGTTCCAAAGTAAATATAAGATACCCTTGATCCTCAAAATTAAACACACATTGTATAGATGTCATCTCAAGGCATTTAGGTATCCTTAGCTTGGATTCCAGGTCATAGTGGCATCAAGGGCAATGAAACAGCTGATCTGATGGCTAAAAATGCAAGTTGCAATGGTTTGCCATGTAATTTAATTTACTCTTCAGACATAGTGTTACTTGCAAAGAAGAAGTTAAATAATAATTGGAACACATTATGGAAAGTCACTCAAAATATAAAAGGTAAACACTATGCTGCTATACAATGTGCCATCCCTCCAAAACCATGGTTTTTCAAATTTAATAAAGCTAACAAACAGTCAACATCAACTATTTGTAGACTTAGAATTGGCCATGCTTGTACACCAGTATATTTAGCCAAACTGAGGATTAGGGATAGTTCCCTCTGCGAATGTGGGTTAGATGAGGGAACCTCTGACCATATTTTTTTTAACTGTCCTAAATTATCTTGTTCACTCTATGATCATCTCCCTCCTGACATCGGTCGTCCTATAAATTTTGATTCACTTTTAACCTACACAAATACTCCTTACGTATATATTCTGTGTGATTTTATTAACACTTATAGTATAAAAGTTTAATGTTTGTCAATACTAATATTATACTAATGTAGTTATAGCAACTGTGTTTGTCATTTGTTCTAGGTAATTCAACAGTACAACCACTAGTATTACAAGATAAAAAGGAAAATTTAATTGTTTAAATAAAATAAGATATTTGTATTATCACAATCTTCTCTAGTACATGGGCATAGTATTTGTAACTACTGAGCTTGTACTGTATAAACACTTCCACGCTGACATTGGCGAATAATCAAAAACCGCCATAAAAAAGAAAGAAGAAGAAGAAGAACCTCTATATAACATACCCCATTATAATAAATTAATTGGTATAATGAATATTTTCTAAATCCCTTCAATTTTGTTATATCAAGGTTGTACTGTATAAACCTTTCAAAAATTAATTGTTAAAATATGAGATGTCAATCTCATATTTTTAATGTTTGTTTGCCGTACATAATAGTTGCTCCATGTCTGGATTCATATGCAATTTGTAAAATGCCTCCACAATATAGGGTAAAATACTAAGGTTTCAGTTACATTATTTTACATAAATGAAATCAACAACAGCATAACGCTTTAGGCCGGTATTCTGTGAGAGCATAGTACTTCCCCGATGTAGCTGGCCCCTAGTCCATTTGTGCTGCAGCCATAATATAGCTGCAGAGTGGCTCTTACATGTGAAAATATATAACAATGTCTATATTGATTACCAGTTATTCTCTCAAACACAAACATATAATTTTATTACGTGGTAGAGCCACGCTGCAGCTATATTAGTAGTATAGTTGTAGCCCAAATGGGTCGGCTCGACCGGGGAAGGACCACGCTCTCACAGAATACCAGTATCAAATAGCAGTTTAACACTGCTGTGTTTCGTATGGTGAGTGTAGAGAACTGGAGGCCCTTTTTACTGGAAAACAGGCATTCCATCTTAGTCCTCACGAGTGACATCGCATCTGCGTTTTGATTCGCAAACGAAGATAAATATAGATGTCTATGGGCCACAGCAACCACTTACCATCAGGTGGACTGTGTGCTCGTTTGTCACTCGATCCTATAAAAAAAAATTATATAGTCAGAAATAGCAGTAACACTTTTGCATCACCTTTCAGTCAATAGATAGACTGAATCTTCTTCGTCATCGAAATCCACCTCCTGTTCCTCCAATTTTTGTATAGCTCTGTGAAGTTTTTTGATTGTCTTTTCTAGTTTACGGATTTGTCTGCGACGTTTACTGTCATATGGGTTGTCTTCTTCAAAGAAATCCTTATTTGTCTCTGTAAGTTTGTAATAAAATCCATATGGAAAATATATCAATATAAATGTTCAAAAAAGCTTGTGTAAAAATAGACCTGCCCCATAGATTGCTACTAATGAGGATATTTGCCATAATTGCCATGCTTAGCATTGGAGTTGACTATTGCAGTCTTTCATTATTATCGAGTTATCATCAGGAAGATGTTGCTGCTCCTGTTTCAGTTTCCCACTGTTGCTTCTTACAAACTATGAAATATGGGCAGTTGATTCTCATACATGGCCAAAAAGCTATTATAATAAAAAATTGGCAACTAAGAATAAAAATATTATTGAATTGCTCTGCAATATGTTATATAAATTTGAGCAGAAGATATTTTTTTCATTTGTAATCCTACAAAGAGCCATGCTAGCTTTCACTACTGAAGCAGTGTGGCGAACTAATTGTTCCGCAATACTTTCACAAATGAGAGCTTGTGCCCAGCAGTGGGACATATAGAGGTTGTAATTTTAACGTTTATGAAGTGTTTTACATATGAAGCATTATGGCTTTGATATACACATTAAAAAAAATTGTTTTTTTTTTTTTAATGTAATTATGGATTTGTAGTAATAGAAAAGTATAACTAGTACATTACTAAAGTGTTTTCATTTAATTGAGTTTAACTTTTTTTAACTCCTCATATTTAACCGTTTAGCACAAAGTTTTACAACGAAGATTTGTCACCTGAAATACCTAGGTATTATTTAAAACAGTAAATAAAACTGGTCCGATCACATAAATCTCAAATGTATAATGTAACAGAGAAAGTTGGGAAAGTCACTTAAAATTATCTTATGTTTATAAAGAATGGTGATCAGACCCATGACCTTATATGGTGCACTAATATGATGGAAATAAAATCTAGTCACCACAAATAACAATCTTCAAAGATGCCAGAGATTAGGACCATGAGAATGTCCTTCCTACTCTGACACCATTGCATTTATACATTCTAAAAGAAGCAACTCTGTCAGCTTTAACTAAAAAGTCTAAACTGTAGTGTGAAGTAACAGGAGCCATCATGCTAGAATATAGGACAGTGTGTATTATGCACAACTGAGGATTATGCAGACAAGATATCTAGTGGTTTGCATCACTCTCCAAATGATACATCATGTCTACATCCCTCCAAATAACACATCAAATAAGAAAACTGGACAAAAAAAAGATCTTTTGTTTTTAAAATTTAAAATATACATCAAAGATGTAATAATAAATAAAATGTTTTCTTTGTTCTATGTATATAACTTTTATTGATTTTACTACATATTTATCAGGACCGTGGGCCTCAATATTAAATGGATAATATTAAATTTATGTTGAAAATTTTAAATTATATTAATTTCACTACTTAGTTATTTGGTTAATTTAATAGTGTATTTTATTTTATTTTTTTAAATATTCATGATAAGGATTTTACACTAAAAAGATGCATTCTCTGAAACATCAGCTATTTGTGTACAACAACTTATATGTGTGTACATACCAACATAACCTTATTTTAAAATTATGAAACAGCAAAATTATAATTACCTTCTACGGACTCCTTTTTGTTTTCTAATAAAGGTTGTGTTTTAGCCATTTTCCTTTGTAAATTTAATTCATCAACTATATCCTTAATATACAAATACATCTTCTGAGGACCAGCCTTCATTAATGTTATTTTTGTTGATACCATGTCAATAAACTCTTCTGATTCAACATATTCTTTTGATACTTGTCTATAATATGTTTTAATTTTTTTCTCAACTATTTTATTCATATCATCTGAATTTTCTAATTCAAAACATAAATCTATGAATTTTTGGTAAATTGGATGAAATTCACTACTTTCACTACTGCATACTGACTTAACATCTTTATTGGGTACTTCCACTCTCTTATCATTTGAATGTGGATCACTTTCCAATGAATTATCTTTTTTAACCATTATTGAGTTAACTGTGAGAGAATCTGTCTTTTCTGGCTTATCATTCTCATCAAGTTGTGTAGTTTGTTGAACTCCGTTTTCAGAATCATTTTCAACTATACCTTCTTCAGGATGATTATTAACTTCAGATTTATTCACAGAACTATCATTGTCTACTTCCATTTCATTTTCATTGAATTCACTGTTTCCTGGGTATTTAAGCTTCTTTTTACTAAGAGGCACTTTGGTGTTGTCTTGTTCATTGTCACTGTCACAAACTGAAGATGCATCATTGAATGGTTTAATGGGGCTATCCTCAATTGTTATAGATAGTTCATTACTTTTTTGATGAGAGTCTTTAAGTAAACAAGGTTTCACTGGACTATCTTCTATTATAATTTCTATCATATTACTTGCCTCAGGCTCTTTGTTGTTCTTCAGTTCTAGGCTATTTTCATTTAATTGTTCTTCAGGCCTTAAATACCACTGTGGACTACCTGTAGCTGTAGACGACTGTGAACCTTCATCATCATCTAATTCCACAGTTAAAACATCACCTACACAACTGCCATGATCTTTCTGAAGGGTTTTCGATGGAACAAGAGTTAAATTTTTTTTTACAGTAATTTTATTTACATTTGGCACACTGGCTACTGGTACAACACTTTTCCCACCTTGAGTTCTTTTAATTGTGATACTTGGAGGTAAATTGTTTAACACTTTTGGGTCTTGCACTTTAAATTGCCGTTTTGTAAATTTAGATGGTGTTCTATTCAATAGAGTAGGACCTCGGTTTGCAATATTAAATGGATTAATATTGAATTTATCTTGAATCGGTACTGGCTTGTCCGTCATTAATTTTCTGTAAATAGGTTTCGATACACATTTTTGCATAGGTCTTCCATTGTGTCTGTTAGCATTAGGTGTCAAATTAACTGTCGTAGATTGAGGCAATTTTGTAATCGATAATGACTTGCCCAACAATACTTTATGTTTGTGAGGTAAATTAGTTGCCATTGGCTTTATAGTTATACCATGTAATTTATTCGGGATATGTACCATAGCATTAGGGAGCGGTTTGATCTGAAAATGTAATTAACATAAAACAAATAGAATACATCAAAAGAAATTATACACTTATAATTTTAAAAAAAAATACTTTTTTAGGTGCCGGTGGCCCTGTTTCATCCTCAGATGATCCCAACTCAATTACATCTTCACTTGCCATTTTTCAAACTTTTGGATGACTATATTAATACCATATATTACTGTAGAAAGAAGTCTTTAATCGTTTATTAAGTTCTTTTATATATTTATTTTGAAATTCAAATTAAACAATAAACATCAATCTCTAAATTACATTTTCACAAAATATAGCGCGTAGCATAGACGCAAATTTTGACAGTCCGATCTTACTTTATGTTTATGTCAACTTCTTATATATTTTTAAGTGGTTTGGCTTGGACGCTTGTCTTTTAAGCCATGGCTTCATTTCATTCGGGATCTTCGTTATAGATTTTCTATTGTAAATTTAATGTTTGTGTAAAAAGGCAGAAAATATTTCATATTTTCAAAAACACAGTCAAGCGACGGGGATCATTATTTGCGATAGGTTAATTTTCACTGTCAATGTCACACACTTCACTAACCAATAAAAGCCGTTGAATGTTAAATTGGTCGCATTCAAACAACAGGTGATGAATAGTACCAATTTGATCACAATTTGGGTACAAGTTCGAGGACTATAATATGTTAAGTCGAGCAAGGTGTGCAGGATTTTTATGGTGGCAGAAATGCAATCGATTTATAGTCGTAATATAATCACAACTTGCTTCTTTCAACTTAGCGTACGATTTCGATAAAATTTAAATGGGACCACCTGGGAAGTATATCCTTTGAAATATAAACAGAATTTTCTAAATCCATTCAGGAGTCTTTGAGTGATCGGTGAACATACATTAAAACAAAAGATTCCGACTAATTGAGAACCTCCTCCTTTTGTGAAGACGTTTGAAAATATGGCTTGCATAAAGTGGATTTATTCCTTCACATTCAGTCTTATCGGCTATTTCATTTCCTGTGATACCTTGTGTGAAGTAATCCACCTAAAGGCGACGTCAACACCTTTTTTGAGAAGTTAAGTATTAGTTCTCTAGTATAATACGAGCATAATGTAGTTAGTTTTAAAATGAATTGAGTAATTTTACACATGAAATTAAACTGCGAGAATCGGTTAATAAATGAAAATATTTATAATTTAAAACTTTAAAACTTCTGACAGAACTTTATCCGGGGATCATATACAGCGTTTCATATAATATGATAATCAGTTTTACTGCTATTTGTATAAAAGGTATTGTAATTATTACCATTCAAAAATACTTGTATTTGTTGTATGATTATTCTCAATTTTTGTTTTAATTATATTTAACTCATTTGTTAGCACTGAAAGCTTACAGTATAAAGGCCACAAGTCTTGTTCATGTATATTTTAATATTGTGTTTGCAGTCTTACGTGCATATTGGGATAATGTTGGAAACTTATTACGAAGTCAATCCGATGCAGAAACCTTGGTTTCTGCATCGAATTTTTTTGATTGAACAGTTAAATTAAATGGTAAGATTTTTCTAATGATCTGTTGTTTATTACTTGATAACAAAGGTTAGGTTTGCAACTAAGTCGCCTGACTTTCAGACGAAAGTACGCCATTTACGCCATTAACGTCATTACGAAAATGCGGTGGTGCGCCATCGTGTTGAAAGCACATGCGACGAACGAAGTCTAGATTTATTTCGTCAAATTCACTGCTTATTTCTTCTCGCATAAAGCGTCCGTAGTTTTCACCGCTCATTGTGGGGTCAAGAAAATACGGACCAATAATTTTGTCACCTATAATTCCCGCCCAAACATTGATTTTCCATCGGTGTTGAAACTGGCTTGGTTTATAAGAATGCGGATTAGTCGTCGACCGTACGTGTTCATTATGAGCGTTAAATACGCCTGTTCTAACAAAAGAGCATTCATCCGTAAAAAGTACGCGGTTTAAAAACTCATGACCGCCATCAACCTTATCGAGTAACCATCTACAGTAATTCATTCTCGGCTCGTAGTCGTTGTCAAGAAGACACTGAACTCGACGATAATGATACGGGTGCTGGCCATCATCTTTGAGTGCTCTCTAAACACGCGTATGGTTCACACCTATTTCACATGCCACCGAGCGCGTGCTCCACGTCGGATCTTACCCAAACATGTCGAGAATGTGCTCCTCGATGTCGTCGTCGTACATTCTCGGTCTTCCTGAATCTGTACGTTGTTGATCACGGCCATGCACACTGCAAGTATTATATTGTGGGATAAATCCAAATACTTAAACGTTATGCTGCTATGTTTTTGAAAATCTACTAATTAGCATTAATTTTTTTTTAATCATAAACAATCCTTATTTTTATTTCTATTCTTGACTACTGAATTGTGACAAAATTTTATGTTCATAAAACTTCCCATGTTTTTAATTATTACTACTAAATATTAGCACAGTATCTATAATGTAAAAATGAATCGCTCAATGTGTTGCTAAGCGCAAATCTCGAGAGAAGCTCAACCGATTTCGCTAATTCTTTTTTTATAATATTCCTTAAAATACGAAGATAGTTCTTACGGAGAGAAAAATAAAAAAATGCATGAAAAAGTCTAAAAACATCACTTTTCTATATTGCCATACAAGAGATTCGTAATAATACTTAAAAATCAATTTGAACTTTAATACCATACCATAAAGTTTAAGTGTTAGTGAAGGGGTTCCGGGAAGGCAAAACAATTAAGTGACGTTAGTATCGTAAAAATATTAATGTCTATCTAATAAAACTCAAAAACAAAAATAGGGTACCGCGCAAAAAAATTGATATCCATGAAATCGTAGTAAATTCCACGCGGGCTAAGTCGCGGGGCACAGCTAGTAAATAATTGATATTAGGCAAATCAAAATAAGTGGATCAAAATATAACCATTTACACAAAAACCTTGGAGGCACTCGCCGCGCAGCAGCTTGCTTTGTGGCAGCCATGTCAGTGACCTAACAGCGGCCGTAGATAATAATATGTCGGCACGTGTCAGAAAGTTCAGAAGCAAATAACATTTTTAGAAATGTTAAATTTAGTAAGTTATCTGATTCGAAACTCTAAAATTACATTTATAGCAACCAAAAAAAAATTCATTGTCATAATTGCACTGCATATGTTTACACCTAAACGTCCCTGAAACGATCAACGGGATTTTTGTTATATACTGTATATGGCCCCAAAATAAATTACTGATTTGGTGGAGTCGATTAACTGGTACAACTAGCTTGTGTCTGTTCACAGTATTTACAGAATGTAAATGATTTATTTTTGTAAAACTTTCTTTTTTTTGTGTACGTACATCTGGTACGTACGCCAAATCGAGTAAAAAAGCGACACGGCCAAGTCAATCTATGTATTTAAAACATAAAAGATTTTTAATATTGATATGGTCACTATAAGATGTTGTTAGGTTAGCTAACTACGTAATAATTTGAGACAGAAGGGTCCTTAAGTAGGGACTGAATAAATTAAGCGACTTGGTATTACATGGATCTCACAACTTTTTACGGTGGAGGAACTGAGTTGCGAAACTTGGTTTTTTTTATAAGTTATGTTTTTGATGGCATTACGTTTTTGTTCGCGACGGTTTAAAAACTTTAAGCAAAAAGTGATTAAAGAATATTAAAGTGTTTTAAAAAGTGAAATTAGCGACAAAATCGAACAAATTGTGTTTTAATATAGTTTTACAGTATGTTTACAACTCGTAATATATTTGTATAAAGTATCGTTTTAATAATAAGTTGATCTAAACGACTTTAAACATTAAATAAAGTTTTGACCAATCACAGCGCAGCATATCGTGGAACTTTCTAGAAGTTAATTAACTGCGCAATAGTTTATATGAAAATAATGAGAATATTTTTATGGTCTGAAAGAATTGTAAATACGATATTTAGTTAGCATATGGTGTATAGATTGAAATAAGTAAATAGATAATTTATGTAAATAAACGCATTTGAGAAATATAGTAAAATTAAAGATTTAATGTGCACTTTTGTTATGTAAATTAGGTACATTTTGATTAATAACTTTTTTGAATGTAAATATATTAAGTAACCCTTATCACATAATGATAAAGGACCAAAATGCCTATTTTGTAGTGTATAGCATGTTAGTGTAAAAATTAGCATTATATAGAAAAATTGCAATTTGTGCAAATTACGTAATGAAAATGTTTGATAATAAAAAGGCAAAACCGGAAATTGGCAAGCGGCTCTCTATAGAGTATAGCCGAAGTCTACCTTATGGGGGCAAATCACAGTAACATGGTAGTAGGAAGAACTACCAGTAACAAGCAGTAGTATCCGGTAGTAGCTGAAGTGACTAGTAGCAGAACACAGTGAAAAGTTAAAGTGAAATAGAAAAAGTTTAGCTAGCCGAAAAAGGTCGTAACTGAAAAATCGCAGTTACACATAGTCGGAAAAAGTGGCAACTGAAAATTCTCAGTTGCATAATATAGTAAAATAGTGTCAGCTAGCCAAAAATAGTGGTAACTGATATTCGCAGTTACATATAGTGAAAAAGTGTTGGCTAGCTGAAAAAAGTGGTAACGGAAATTTCGCCGTTACATATAGTGAAAAGTGTTAGCTAGACGGAAAAAGTGGTAACTGATATTCGCAGTTACAAAAGTGTTAAATTCAACTAAATTTAGTTGATTAATAGCTGCTAGTCAGTAGTGTTAGAAAACCAGCTGCTACCAATAGAAATTTTGGATACTACCAATAGAAATTTGTTACTTTCAATAGATATTTATAATTACCAATAGAAATAGTAGAGAATACCAATAGAAACTTGTTACTGCCAATAGAAATTTGATATTACCAACAGATATTTTGAAAATACGAATAGAAATTTTAAAAAAACCAATAGAAATTTTAATTACTGTGTGTTTAATTAAATCTGTGTTTTAAAATATATAGTGAACAATCATAGTTGAAAAACAGTGTTAAATAAATAAATAAGTTATAATATTTCGCGACTAATTAATCAGTCGAACCGCTGGCCACTCCCTTGCTATTTTAATTTATAAATCGTGCATTTTTAATTCTGAACCTCAGTCCACAGTTCTCCAACAGCATACACAAAGGCGGTAGTGAAAGTATC